AGAGAAATCGCGCGCGTAACTCACTCGGAAAATTGACAGGTCCCGCAACAATGGCCGATCTCTCAAGACCAAAGGGTATCACCATTCTTCGCAGACTCCGCTGTCCAGTCCCGCTATGCGACGACGTGAGTCGCCCACCTCCTCGAGATGAAGATGAATATGAACCAGCAAGGGTAGCTCAAATTTAATTCATGCTAAAGTATAACGCCCTGGGTGTGCCAAGACAGGGGAAATCTGCCGATCGGGACGAGGGTGATGCCGCCCTGTGCTCACCCTGGTCGCGCCCGGGTCAGGGGGGGAAGACGCCGGCCGCCTTGGCACTGCGAGGCCCCACGCCGAACTCGGCTCACCCTGGTGGAGATCGACCTGATCCCCGTGATTGGCGTTTCGGGGTCACGGCCGTGTTAGGTAGCCTACTCGCACTCAAGAGCGGCGTCGTTAATTCTACGCTTTCACGTGGGCGCGGATCGGACAGACTTTCGCCCTCGAAGGGGTTCTTTCTTCTCAGCGGGCAGTGACTCTCATCTGCTTTTCCGAGTCGAAACGACTCCTACGGAGCTGTGAATGGGATAGGAGATATATTGACGCATTCTTCCATTCTTCCATCCAGTTCTCTTAACGCCGGCCGTCCAGCCCCTCGCCGCTTCGACTCGGTCGCTCGTCCAACTTGACCACTCGGAGCTCTGCCTACCCTCCTTCCTGTGAGCCCTTCTCGCCGAGCGAGGACTTTCGACGAACCCTGCTTATCTTCCACCTTCCGAAGTGAACGCTGGCCTCCTTGAGCGATCAAGCGGGCTCATAACTATCCTCCTACCGCGAAACTGGGCCGCTCGCCATGGCTCTAAACATTGTATATATGACCTCTCTCGGTGTCAGGAGATTGGTGATACTCTCAACGTGGGAGCCTATCTCCTTCTAGGCTATATCGTGGGATATGGTCAGGTCAGAAGATTGCTGGCGTGGTGATGGTGGTGATGCTGCCCTTCTCGGGAGCCGACCTCAGCATCCTTTGCCTGGATTGCACATGGATCACGACGGAACGGTCAAGACTCGTTGTACACCTGTTGCTGGCAGAAGCCTGGTCATCGACCAATGGCAGAAATGCCTCACGGGTCGGTGTGCAGGCAACTGAGACAGTGGGAAGGCGGAGACGCGCCAACTTTGAAGAACGGACTTCGGCAAAGGTCAATATCATTGGCAATCGAATTGTTAACAGGCTCGAATTCTGCCTGACAGACGGGAAGTCAACATGTGGAAGCGGGCTAGAAGCCGCCCACGAAGCGACTTGGCTCGGGGCTGAGTCAAGGAGACAGATAGGGGAGTGGGCGTGCACTGCCCTTCCACCCTGCAGACCCACTGGACAGACAGGATGTATGCATCGAAGGGAGAGCGAGGGAGCCGTAACCGGACGTGTGACTCGGCTACGGTAAAGGGTGCTTCTCTACAGCAACGCGATCGAACCCCGTGACTTTGAGCATCCCGAAATCCGAAATCGACTCGAATCGACTTTTGAGAGGCAGGGATTCAGAGCACATAGCACATGGAAGAGAGGACTCAAATTCGACCGGGCCAGAACGAAAGGAACGGGAGAAGAAGTGGAAATGGGAGTGAAAGAAAGAGGGAAGGGAATACCGGGCTTCGAAACATCACTCAGCAAGGAAGTTGAGGGCGAGATAGCAACGGTCACGGGATTAGGCCCAGCCTCTCCTCAGAACTGCAGGGAGTCGATCCGGAGACGGCGCCACGGACTCAGAGACAATACAAACCCGGGCCAGCACTCGATGAATTACGGCGCTACGATCTAAAGGAAGTGACTGGGCAATTAGAAAGTCGAAGGGGTTGAAGAAGGTTCAAAGTGGGTGTGACTACCGCTGTCCTGGCATGTTTGTCGGAGGGGAATGGAAAACAGTGCAGCTTTCATTTTGAGGGTCATTTACGCTTCTGTAAAGAGGTCATGGTCGCCGGTTAGAGTTACTTTTGTTCTTGACAGGGAGGAAGGGTACGGGAGCTTGAGAATGGAAGGTTTCTGGTTTGCGCAGAGTGGTTTTCTGGTTCTGGTATAGACTTTCAAATGTAGGTAAAAGTACGGAGTACGGAGTATAGTACTCGCAGCCCGAGCCACAGACCTTCAGATTCAGCAAATGTTCGGCTAGTGCTCGCCCCGACTCCGACACCGAAAATTACGGCGGACCATATGGAATTTATATGCACCTGCGCCCTGTTATTTCAGTTCGTTATTCAACACGTTCGTTCCTTTCTCCGGCTCTCCCTCCTTCAAACATTTCTCGAATGCAGTCCTCATTTCAACAAAAGAGAAAACTTCCGTCCCCAGTACCATTTAAACCTTCCAAAAGACTTTCGGCGCATCACCAACAGCAGTCATGGGAAGAGGAATTCTTCGCTGACACCGAGGCCATTGTCGGGCAGGAAAGAAGGTGGACATCTGATATAGAGCAAACGCCGGTGCAATTCCCTGTCGCCGAGCTGCGCTTTAGTCAACCTTTATACCAGCCTCTACCCGAGGCATGCTCTCAAGTATGGCTTGCTGAAAGAGGCCTCAGCAAGTATGCCGCGAAACTGGTCAGTAACCTTTCGACCCTGCCAACAAGGAGGTCCTTTCTTTCTGTTTAAGCACAACATTCGTTCTCGAGCCCATCTTCGTTTAATTTGACTGATGGGCACAACCTTGTTCCCGCTAAAATGACAGCCTTCTCTTGCTGAACGGCAAGCTGCATGCCTTGTGTCAACCGTGGTCAGTTGTCCCTACTACTCCCTCTCTGACTTGTCTAGCACGGCACCTCGCGCTTTCACGTTCTGGCGCCAGGTCTCATTGCCCTAAGACCAAACAGCTTTGAAGAGGATTGTATTGCTTCTTGTCTTATTACCCGCCTCTTGACACAGATTCAATCCGAAGCATTGATGCGAACTCCCGCAGAGATAAGTGACACTTGCGAAAGTCGCTACGCCATAACATTAGGAAGATATCAAGTAGCCTCGGTCTTCCGCATAGGAATCGATCATTCGGATTCGAAGGAGATTGGAAAAGCTGTCGCATTGTGACGAGAGCCTGCGGTGTATATGCTCAATGCAGGCAGCTAGTCGCGCTTGGTCATCCTAACATATCATCGTCGCATTGGGCACTGGTTCCATCAGAAAATCAAACGAGGCGATCTCGGTGACCTTTGGCACTACAGTGACGAACCATTCATTCACATTGGCAACGCGGT